TATTCCACTTACTGCCGCCAACTATAATAGCAGCGACTATCGTTGGAAAACTAGCAATTTAGACCCTTTTGCATCCAATTTCGTTGCCGTAAAATATGCTTGTGAAACTGGTATCGCCGACAAAGTTATATTCTTCCTCAATCAAAACGCGGTTGATCTCGATTGGTGCGACGTCGGTTTATGCAATTGGTCAGAAGTTTTAAAACGATATAATACACTTTATACAGCGGAATGCAGTACATATTATTGCGCAGATTCCGGCGCGGACTCCTTAGTTAAACCTCTGGGTGAATTATTATTATTTATTTCATCAATTGTATATTTGTTGTTTTAATAATTATTAATTAATTAAAAAGTCGTTTTAAAAATCAAAAAGAAATCTTGAAAATGTTTATTTCATGTATATATATATACTACATACATATATCTTCAAAAGAGGCACAACTGAAAAATCAGATCCAGAAATATAACTGCTTGTGGATCGTAAAGATGCAACGCAATTAATACCAAAACAAATTTAACAGCAGTTTTCTTGTTAGAAAATATTTTCATGGAACACAAATTTGCATTTGTTGGAGATAGATCCTACGAGTTCATTTATGCAAAAAAATCTACATACATTTCTTTTAGTTGTGCCTCATTCGAAGAGGGCGTGCTATATCTTACGGTGTTTTCGTTTCTTCCAAAAGATATTGTCCTCCCATAGTGCAATATTTGTTTGATGTAACCCTGTAAAAGTGTGGGTTAATTGGTGAAGCGTCGCCTGAGTATATTCCCAGGACCCAATTATTTTATTTATTTACTTATTTCAAGTCTTTGAATACAAATATTCTTACGGACTGCGTATATATCTAAAACTATGTAGAAATTAAGTATAACTAAACATACGAATATAATGTAGCAAACAAGCAATAAATGGCTATTTGTGTAGCTGCGAAAATAATTGACGTAGATAGTTGATTAAAGTGGCACTAGGTTGCAAGAAATCAACATCTAAAGCATTGAAGACCGTAGTTATTTCTGCACTAGTACGAAATATAGGAGCATTGCCACCATAATTGGTTCTGGAGAAACCAATATTAAACCCCTTATTCTAGAACACGAATTTTCGTAAACGAAAAAGCCACATGCTGCAACTCTTGCGGAAACATGTGCAGCATTGCCAGCTATCAGTTGTTTTTCGAAGACAGCTGAATAAAGGAAAGTAAAGTGGAAAGGAATTAAAGAAAAACAGTGATGAAGTGATTATTTATAGTAAAATTGTTTGATTTTACATATGTATTTTGAAAGAATTGATAGATTCGATTGCATTTGCAATTATAGCATCGGAGTACGACCGCCCTATGGGAATGTTTCACAAAGATATGTGGAGCTCTCGGGTATAGTAACCATGGGCGCATCTATGTCAGCTTCTGGTTGAATTGTTGAACCATAAGCCAGAACTCCTTTGCCTGAAGAACTGGTTCGCAATCCAGTTAATGCAATAACAGCTTCTTCCAAGCCATTGAAACCATGCACTTTTTTAGGTCCACCACCTTCGGCTTGCTTCTGCCTTCGACCGCGCTTAGGGATTGTACCCTTACCTTACCTGGCCGGAGAAGAGGGGCGTCCGCATGTCAAAGGTATACAACATTTATTGTGCATATCACTCCGGCTACGGCATCCACAGTGTTTTTGCGCAGAACCCACATCGAAATTTGCAACAAAGTGCATAGTGCAAACCGAATTTTTTAATAACCAGTGGTCGGAAATTTGAAGCATTTGTTTTAAATAAAAGTTTAATGCTTTGATTACACGTGTATGTTAAAGTTTTTGGATTCGGGTTATGCGTTTGGACACAACAACCGAAAACCATTGTACAAATAACAAAACCGGTCCCAAGTTTCTTGATAAGGGGCAACAAAGATTATTTTTTGCTCGTTTATATAAAGCAGTGGACCACAGAGCACGGCAGTGCGCGCGAGTGACGAAAGCAGCCACAGTAGCATGCTGAAATGACTCGCTTATATATACACGAGATTTGGAAGTTTTTATCCAGATGTCCAATCGATATGTTTGCGGTATAGTTGGAAAGGTCTTGCAGAGTGTGTCCAGAAAATGTATCCAAGCTTCATAAACGATTAACCGGATTCTTAAAAATTTGGCTAAAGTGTTGCGAAACGAAAAACGTTTTTTTTTGCTTTTGCCGGAGGCATGTGGGTACACCCAACATATTTAGTGTTATTCTATAGGCCAATACCTTTCAAACGATACCTTATATATAAAGTTCCGGCTACTAGTTGGAAAGATATAGAGGTAAATGTGTTTTGGTTCGTGTCTCCACTACGAGATGCTTTGGTATGTATGTGGCGTCTGTACGTACCTTCATTTAATTTTGTTCAAACTTTCAGGAATTAAAGTACAAAAAAAACTAAGAAGGTTTTGTTCCAGGATGTCTTGATTCGTATGCCTTTGTGGGCGTGGCTGCTGCCTGAAATTCGAAAAAAGGCAATTTTTTAAACTACCACTGAGGCCACACTACTCAGTCCATATCATTGATGTGGATATCAATAGAAGGATCTTCAAACAAGCTATATAACGCTATCTTTTGTGTTTATAAAATATAAATATGTCATAACGTTATCGCTTTAAAACTAAAAATCGGGCTTCTGAAAATATACATTTCGGACATTTTCTCAAAATTTGGTCAGTCGATTTTATTCTAAGTTTCCACAAGTCTACCCCAAAAAATTTGTTTTCATTTCTAAGTTTCAATTGAAAAAATGTCGCTCCAAAAAGGGTCAAATGGTTAAAAATTAACAAATCCGTCTAATTTGGTTACTTTAAGATATAAAAATAGCATACCCAGTTCCCCGAAAAAAATTGCCCATTCCCCGATTGCCACTTAAACCGAAATTCCCTGCAAGTCGGGGAATTTCCCGCGAGTTGGCAAGTTGACGGATGCAGCTGTGCTAATCACTTCGTACATGTCTTGGAAGCCACAATTTTTGTGTATTTTAGGGTTTTTTTTAGTCACATGCCGAAATTGTAAAATTTTTCCCCCATTTTAATTGCAGGTATGTACACAGTATTTAACTATGCTACATGGGTTTATCACCCGCACTTAACCTACCTACCTACAATATTACCTAAAGTTGTACGTAAATATGTATGTATGAATGCATTTAGTTTACCCAATGTGCCGCTACTAGTTATATGCATATGTATAAATTGCCACTGAGCGAAACTAATTGAGAAAATATCATTAGTTTAATAGCACGAGTGCAAGACCGTACACGTGGTAGAAGTAAAACTTCTTAAAAAAGCACAGGTGTGCGCCCCACACCCGGTAGAAATCTTAAAAACAACTAAACTACGAGGCAATCAGACGAATACAGTTGCTTATTGTATCCAAAGTTGGTACCAAGCTGATACGTTTTTATCATTTCTCAAAATTTTTGAAGTGAAACTTCTTAGGCGGCGGTATCGCAAAAATGGAGAGTGAAATTTTTAAAACTGAAAACGTTACATGAGTGAGAAGGAAGATATAGGTAGTATAGGGAAGGGGAAAAAAGAAATAAAGCGACGCATGACGGGTACGAGTAGCTACATATGTATATACAGTGAAACCTCCCTTGGGCGGACACTCACCGTCAGCCAATTTTTGTCCGCCCAAGAGAGGTGTCCGCTCAATGAAAGGGATGCTTATTTTAGAACTTTTTAATGTTTTAATTAATTAAATAGTTACTATTTCTTATTTGAATAAAAGATATTGATATTACATCGTTCACACAAAAATGTGCATGTATTTTTTCAAAAGTGTATATTTCATTTATGTGCGTAAGTACATATTAAGTAATAACAAAATAAAAATAAATATTACATTTCAATCCATAAACTACATAAAACCATAAATTCATTACATAAAAACTGGGAAGTTTTCGATTGACGTATGTTTTATTTTTAATTTTTTTCAGTGTCAGTACCTTTTTCATCAATAGTTTTCATGTTTTTATCAGTAACAAAATCCAGCCAGAAATCTAAATTTTCGGTACATTTATTTATTATTATCTATTGTTATAAATTCATCAGAATTGGAATTGGATTCTCCAAGGGTTTCTGATAATTCAAATAACGAACCTAAACCACTGCGCAAACCAAACTAAATGGCATAAAAATAACATTTTATGCGGGAAGTCCCCCTTTTCCATTTAGTAGTCCGCCTATGAGGAGTTCGCGTCCGCTCAACGGAGGTTTTTGTTTGATTTGTTATGAAAAGAAATCTTAAGGTCCGTTGAAAAGAGGTTCGCGTCCGCTCAATAGAGGCTTTTGTGTCAATTTTATGCAAAATAACTGTCCGCGTCCGGCCAAGAGAGTGTCCGCTGAAGAGAGAGTAATTTGTTCCGAAAGTTGTACTTAAAACTTGGTATAGGAAAAAATGTCCGCCCAAGGGAGATGTCCGTCTAATAGAGGTGTCCGTTAGGAGAGGTTTCACTGTATGTATGTTTGAATACACGTATGTATGTATACATATATATATGTATGCATATATATGAATGTATGAACGAACTCATTGCGCACTTCAGCTCTGCCGCTACCAAGCAATATATGTAAGTTAAACTACCCGGCTCGGTAGGTTACAAAAAAAATTGTTCCGGACGAGACCGGTCTTTATTTGTTGATATGAGTTTAACAACTAACTTTACAAATTCTCTTAATTCTAAAGCTAAACCTAAAAGTTAAGCCCGAGTGCTGTCAACGTGACAGGTATTTTGCTGATTAGGCGTTTCCCACGGAACGCCAGTCGCTGCTCTGGAATTTGTTGTCCAGCTTTTTGGTTGCGCGTGTAAGGTGTTGTATTACCATCTTCTTTATGTTGAGTTGTATGAAGTGCTGAGCTGCGCGTGTGGGGTGTTTGGTTACCGTCATTCTTATGTGGAGTTATGTGAAGTATTGCGTTAGCTCCTCCCTCCTCAAGTGCGGACGTCCCCGGGCGCATATTCGCAGATTCTGGAGTACTAGGGGCACTTGGTTTATTGCATTTCCCTTGAGGGTCCTTCGGCTTCCTTCTTTCGGAAATTTTAAAAGCGAGTAGTATGATAGCTATTACCATAGATATAATGAATGCAGTATTAGAGGTTAGACCAACTTTACTGATTTTGTTGATCGTCTCCAGTTTCTTCGTATTTTGTATTTGGAGGTGCTTCATCATCTGCAAGGATAGTATTTCTTCAAAGGGTGTTTTTGGATTTGGCTGTTGTAAAACGGCTGGGAGAGGTTGCAAATTGCTCATTTCATGCACGTAGAAATTTTTGTTTTGTACTTTGATGGTAGAGTTGTGGTGTTGAACTATAAATGTTCCATTAAGATCAATTGATTTTCCATCTATATCGATT